AGCAGAGTAATGACCTTTTCGTCAAGAATGTAAAAAGCTAATCTACTTCTACGTCGTCCTCAACTACTATGGCATTATTACATAGCTATTAAAACTGTAGAACTAGTGCTTTACACCTCTTAAGTTACTAAGTGCCTAACATCATCTTAGTATGAATCCTTATCCCCCTTGTTATGATATCAAGTGCGCCTTGCAGCTCGAGTGGGGGTTCAGGGGTGTGGGGAGCTTTCCGGGGTTGGAGCGAAGTTTTCAGTTGTGGAGTGAATTCTCAGAACTGGTCTCGCTAAAGAGAATTCACTCCACAACAACATAGCTGTATATAGATCGAGCCACTGCTCGAGTGCTCCTCTTCTCTTTCCTTTCTTCTCTAGATTGAGTTTAATTCATAATACCCAACTGGCCCTATGCCTTGGTGAACCGTGACACCCCTTATGAATTGATGTGCAAACTTTCTAGAAACTCGAGCAATTTTAACATGTCACTCTTCTCGTTATACTTCTTAAGTGCATTAGATGGACCTGGTCTAGTGTAAAACCTCCCTTTAAAGAAACTAGGATAGAAGCTAGCGTATTCCTAGTTAATGATAGCCTTAATCTTAAGGGTTGGATCGACAATAACGTTATGTTAAGAAAGATCATTGTGACAAAACACATATTCCTTCGCTAGTGACAGTCTTAGATTCTAGGAATCTTGCTTAGTGGCGTGAGTTATACGATAAGGTAGGACTATAATTCCTGTAGGTCCTCTAACGCTATTAGACTTTAGACTCTGTAATGTCTCTAAGTGTCCCTCTAATTCCTTTAGAACAGGCAGCTGCTTTTCCTTAGGGAGGAGAGCTAAGTCGACTCCTTTAATATACTCTGTAATCAACCAAAACGTTCCGTTAAGCTCAAATGCTCTATACACCTTTGGCACTAGAATATTCGTCTCGTCTAAGATAAACTGTAATGATGTGGCTTCATTTTTTATTCTCTCCTTTCCTACACGTAGTATAATAAGGCCACGAGGGCTAGTCTAATATTCTAATAGGCAAAGGCATCTCTTCACAAACTAGTTATCTTTAGTATTTCCTCTTAGGAGTTGTTACAAAGCATAACTCCTTAGGTAGTAGATTTGATATAAAATTGGAAACGTTTAGTGAAGGTGGCAGAGAAGATAGCAGGGAGGATAAGAGTGAAGTAGGAGGCGACAATGATGATGAAGACATGATGACTGTTAAGGTAGGTCAGTTTAATTGACGAAAGAGAGAAATAGCCGTGTCTCTAGTTGTAAGGATGCCTCCGTACCTAGATACAGAACTGTTACAGTCACTACAAGCATGGAATCCGACTCGGTGGGGTTTCGAACCAGTAGAGGAAGACATAGCGAGTTACACTATAGTGGGGGACGGTAAGGGTGTAGGGTTCAGGGTCGATGCAGACCTGTTGCGGTGAAAGGTTCAGGGCTAGGGTTGGGATAACTGAGTCGGGCCCGTTTCAGGTACTTAAGGAAACAGACTCAACGGGGTTCCCCCTTCATCTTTTCTGTATCCTTCATAGTAGACCTATAGGATAGCATCCGTTTAGCCTCCGACTCGCACTCTCATATGCTATTACTGTGAGCTGGGTGCCCTGTGTCCTTACACTAGTAGTAGTAGAATTGTTAGATCGTGGGAACCGCGGTTTGAATTCGACGGTTAAACACTGACGATCTTTACGATAGTAGGAGAAGGTGTTCTGGTTGAAAGCAGCCAAAATTTCGCTTGCTATTCTGACTTTGAGGTTGAGGTGTATCGGTTCAGGGTCGTTAGTGAAGCAGTTCTAAGGTTCATTAGCTGCTAAGAGTGTTAGAACTTCGGTAACCTAATGCTTAATACGGGTTAGTCACAACAGAGCTCCAGCTTACTAATCTAAGATTCCTAATGCTAACGGAGAGTAGAGAGGATGTGGCAGCCAGATGTTACCCATTTTAGTGGGTACAGTAGTTCTAAAATTAGTCTTGAAGATCAAGCCTTAGAGTCCTGGGGTGATTGTGTCAGTGTCTTAAGGATGAAACTCGGCTAAGCATTGCTTCTAGCCAATTAATATTTGGCATAGGCGCCTAAATAACTTTCCCTAAGTTGTTGCCTCATGGCACTCTAACAACAGCTCATTATTATCATGCAGACATGCCTAGCTCAACCTCCACTCGATTTCACACGGCAGGACTTTTGATGTGAGTAGTTGCGACGAGGGGTTACTGTTCGCACTAAATGAAAGTACCTGCTGAGTATGTTTCTTGCGACAACAACGAAGCATTCGTCACTCATCATCCTGGTCATGCTACAAGCTCTGTTCTAATTAGTTCCATTTGGTTTAAGCGAAGTGGTAAGTATAAGTTTACTTCTTGCCCCTCCTTCCTGTCAACATGGCCCCGCGTCAAGCAAAATGAAACGTCTAAAACGCTACTCGGTGTTCCACCCACTCGCTTCGCTCGTAGGTGGCGACAGCAAGTTGTGCGTGCGACAGCAAGATGTGCGACACATAAAACGAAGAAAAAGACGCCTTATATATCAACTATATAACTATATAATTAAAACATAAAATCAATAGAACTACTATCACTATCGCTACTGCCACTATTGCTACTATCACTTTGATCCTTACTATACCGTAAAATGATCACTTTTGATTTCAACCCTTCCTTCTTCCGCTCTGCTACCCGCTTCCTCTCAACCTTACGCTCTTCAATTTCGATTTTACGTGCTTGCGCTTGTAGCTGCTTTACTACTTGGTCCGATTCCCTTGCTGCTCTTGCGTCTGCTTTTGCTTGCAACTTTGCTTTCTTCTCTTCCCGCATTTTCCGTGCATCTGATGCATATAACTGCCCTCCTTTCTGTAGTGATTTCCGTGCCCTTGCCTTTGCTGCCTTCTGCTCTACTGCACGTAGAGTCATAATATCTAGCTCGGTCTTATAGAGCTCTGCCCGGTGTAGAACAACTGTAGTTCCACGTGCAAATGATTGAAACCCTTCTCTTGAAGGCGATGAGAAAGCTTCCTCTGCTCTCTTCTGCCAATGTTCAACCGCTTGCACACTTTGCATAGTTGTTTTCGGTGTTGAGATAATATTATATGAAGCAAATGGCTCATAATCAGGTGTTTGATTCCGAGTCTCTTGTATCTTGTCAATTACAAGTGGAGGATTATATGGATATAGTCCTGTATTTCTCCAACCAGATTGAATTGTACGGACAGTTAGAGATTGCCGTCGGATTTGCGGGAGGTCTGAAAGGAACGTACGTAGCTTATACTCATAGTCGTAGCTACGTACTGCTTGATCAAGTGCCTTTTGATGAAAGTGTTTGCACTGCTTAAAAACCGCTACATCAAGAGGTTGTAATAGATGTGTTGTATGAGCAGGAAGGCAGCAAATAACAATGTTATGCTCTTCTGCTAATGTAAGAAAGCGCTCTGTTTTATGAGAGTCATGGCCGTCAAGTAATAAGAGGCGAGTATCATCTGGTGCCATATGCTCTGCAGATAGTTGGATAAAATGCATAAGGTATTGGATTGCAATGTCGTCGTTTTGAATACCCGCTCTCATTTACAATAATGAGAGCATTTGGCTCAAGGTCATCATTGTACCATGAATCCATATGAAGTTTGCCAGGGATAATGATAGCTTCTGCAAGTGCAGCACCACTTGCATTTACTGCCTCAATTACAGTAACAGAGAGCCGATTCTCAGGATTATCAACAGTCCACTGCTTTACACCGATTGGTACAATAACAGCCGTAGACTTATAACACCCAATCATATAGCCTGTCTCATCAACATTCCATAAATTATATGGCTTAATGTTATGTTTTGTAATAAGGGCGTTATATGTGAGAAAGAATTCCTCAAACACCTCTTTCTTTTGTGCTTGCTTCCGATGTGTATTTAACGTCTTCGTGTGAATTGTATGAAATTCGGGGTGTGCTTTTAGAAAGCGTTGTAGCCACCGTTGTGATGGTATCGTACGATTAGGTCGTAAGTCTGCAACTGCCCGTAGTATCATAGATCGGTTGGCAGGGACCCCGTGCTCAAGTTGGTCGTATATGAATTGACAGACCGCGGTCTCTTGCGATTGAGATAAGACTCGATTGCTACCTCCGTGGGGTAATTGAGGAGACGTAGTACTCGTAATACGACGTCGGAGTGTCTCACGGTTGACATTGAATTTATTTGCAACCCAAGCAATTGTATATGTACTTGGTTGTTTTAAGAAGAACTGTTGGGCCTCATTAAGGCGAGCAATCATAGTAGGATCGTTATTTTGAGGCATTGTAGATACTACGTTATGAAGAATACTATTATTTTTTCTATATATCAAAATAGCGGTGTACGCACATCTTGCTGTCGCACGCACAACTTGCTGTCGCCACCTACGAGCGAAGCGAGTGGGTGGAACACCGAGTAGGCGGTAACGGTTGGCTTCAAAAGACTAAGGTAAGCCATCTTCGCCTGTTTCTGTGTCCCTTAACTGATCATTCGTAGGGAAGCGCCCTTAAGGTATCAAGAGAGTACGGCCCCAAGTATATACTCGTAAGAGCGACCGACTAGAAGAAATACAACGTCGCTAAGAACGAACTGTGTCTAATGGCAGAAATATTGAACCTAAGAAACTAGCATCCTCCCTAACTACTAATGCTCCTGGCATAGAGGCAAGTCATGTCACTCTCTTTCTACGCAAGAAAACTAACTCTGCCAAGTCTTCACACGCTAACAATCGAAAGCGAAAACGATCGCACGAAGCTCAAAGCCCCTTTTCAGCTACGGCCAAGCCGTCCCTAAAGCGCACGCGAACGTCACCTCGACAGTTTGCTACTGACGATATATCTGGCGAGACTACGCCGAGCGGAGTTAACGGAAAGAAGATAAATCTCATTGAGTTCTGGACGAAAGAACGGCGGTGGCCAAAGGAACAGTTTCAACAAGACGATTAGACAAGGGAAGATCTCAAAGAAGACAGCTGGTACGAGAAGTATTGGGTGCCAGAGATGGACCACCTACTTGCCAGAAAGAAATCATCATACTCTCTTCGCAGGAGGCAATTAGAAGCCGGCTCTGTCACGACTAGCGAGAAGTCAAAAGCGCTCCCTATCAAGATGGGCGTTATCAAACTATTCTTGCCAGTAGAGGCAGCTTTATGGGCAAATCAGAACTGGGCAGCACAGATGCAAGCAAAAGCCTCTGTCGAACCCTACTTGAGAAGGAGCAGACGGTGCCTTAAGAGTCCTTGTTTCGTGATGACCTATTTGAGGAAGCTTGCGAAAGTATACAAAATAGAAACGAGGCTAGAGTAGTTCAAGATATCGCTCGACTAATCATCCCTTCTGCGGAAACTCTCGCAACATTCGGATCGAAACACCTCGGGAGTTTAGTCGAAAGTGTCAATGAAGGCTGGAATAATTCCATACCTATCACCCAGACTCGTCCACAACCCGACTATGCTGTTGGATTTGGGCGAAAGGCATTCACAGAAGATCAAATCAAAAGACTTCAACCTTTCGTTGGCGAGCTTACAGACAACTCTTACTTTATGGCCACATACTACATGTACTTTCCGTTCCTGACATGCGAGGTCAAATGTGGCGGCGCCGCTCTCGACGTTGCAGATCGGCAAAATGCTCACAGCATGACGATGGCAGTGAGGGGTATAGTCGAACTCTTTAGGCCAGTGAAGCGCGAAAAGGGGCTCCACCGGGAAATTCTCGCCTTCTCAATCTCGCATGATCACAGTTCGGTGAGAATCTACGGCCATTACCCTCTCGCTCAAAACCCTGGTAAAGGCTGCGCTCGACGATGAACCTCTGAATCGAGATAGCCGCCAGAAAGGAGGGCACTGTTTTCCGCGTCACTGGTCTCCCAGCCTCACAGCCTGACGACGAGCTCAACGAAGCCTTGAAGGCTGCCATCGACGACAACCTGGCGGGCGAACTATGGAATGCAGCTATTGTGCCCTCCTGCTACGACAATGAGGAAAAAGTCGCGCTGGTCGAGTTCCACGGCGGAGTGCCTGCATTCCTGTCCGAGCTGATGGCCAACCCGCTGGGCGACTGGCAGGTTTAGATGGGCGACACGGACATCAGTTTCGATCAACACTTCTTTGGGTTCACCCAGCTGTACACGCCAAAGCCAGGATCACCGGCAACCGCTGAGTAGGTAATATTTATTCCCCAGGGAATATATGTCTGACTTACCGCGTAGTATAATCGCTATCACGGGCCTCGACGGACACGCATATGGCTCGTGGAGGGGAAAGGGAAACCTCGGGCGCATGTGGCTACGCGACTTTTTGTCCAAGGACCTGCCATGCTGCCGCACGATGATCAACGGCTACAACTCGAAGCTGTCAACGCATGGGGTCGACACAATCATGGACTACAGCCGAGGGTCGATAGAGGAGCTCAAGCAGGTCAGGAATACAAAGGAGGTAAGCGCCGTTATAGGGTGCGGCTTTAGAGCAGCAGCATCATGCTAACAGAGTCATTCCACTAGCTAAGAAAGCGGCCCCTGTTCTTCATCGCGCATAGCTTTACATAGAAAATCAATCAATCAATCAATCTTTATGGAAAGGACCAGGAGATTTGGGTCGAGGGAGCAAATGAGGGGTGAAAGAAATCAGGTCGGGGTCGAGCTAAGTTGGTACTAAAGGACTACCAGACTTCAGAATGAAGCGAGGCCACAAGTCTAGCAACTAGCAAATTTCGTATTCGAAGTCAGGAGACTGTGAGTGAAGCATAAAAACTATGAATTCCTAACCCTAAACGTAACGAAAATCAAATCCTGGTGAACCGGCCGAGCTGAAACTCTCCAACGAGGTGAAGAGAACTCCATACAACGGTCCACACATCCTCCCTCCTACCAGGTGTAACTGTAACGCCCGTCGCTGCAGTTGTCCCAAAGTTCACATCAATGGTATCAATCAAGCCTGCCCAGTAATGGTCACCACCGTGCCCCCCGTAATCGGTCCAGAAGTTGGAGTGATGGAACTAATAACCGGTGGTCGCTGGAAGCTGAAGCTAAGTGAGCTATCTGTGCCGCCTAGTGTAGTAATATTGATTGGAACCGTGCTGACAAGGTGTGATAGCATCTACTTCAGCATCGCTAACCTCTGTAAAGCTAGTCGCGGGGGTGGTTCCGAAATTCACGCTAGTGGTTCCCGTGAGACCAGTGCCGGTGATAGCGAAACTATCGCCGCCAGAAGTGACGCCCGTAGTAGGAAATACTTCTGTAGGTGCGGGAGGGGCGATATAAGTATAATTGAAACCCAGGCTAGTACTAGCAGGCGGTGTGACGGAGGCGGTCCCAGCGGTACCTGCTGGAGCGACAGCGAAAGAACTGGCTGCATTACCGGCAAACGTAACCGCCGTGGCACCATTGAGGTTTGAGCCCGTCAGGGTGACAGTATTCCCACCTGATACCGGCCCGGACGCTGGGGAAGGCCCTGTGACAATGGGAGTCGGAGCGGCTGTATAGGTATAGGTAGTGCCAGCAGCACTAGTGCCCAGTGACGAAGACAAAGATATTGCCACCAGCGCTAGGACCCGGCGGAACAACGGCGTTTATCACTGTGTTAGAGACCACGGTGAACGAGGTGGCAGCAGTTGAGCCGAAAGTCACAGCTGTGGCGTTCGTGAAACCGGAGCCATTAATGACAGGAGTGTTTACTCTTCCGCTTGCAGTCGACAGTTAAACAGATTGGACCTGGACAGGCTGGACCGGCTGGACCTTGTGGACCGGCTGGACCTTGTGGACCGGCTGCACCGGCTGCACCGGCTGGACCTTGTGGACCGGCTGGACCGGGTAGGCCAAGCCCCACAAAAGCGGTAAGCGTCACAGGATTTCCGATTGTGCCTGTGGTTAGGACGACCTGGAATGTTGTACCAGCAGCAAGTGGTACTAAGGGTGTGACAATGAGTTGTGTTGCGGTGCAGCCACCGGGAATAACGGTGGCCGGGCTACCGCCAATCAAAACTGCTAGGATAGGGCAGGTAAAACCTTGGCCATTGATGACTACCTGTCCTTGAGCGTTAACGGAGACACTAGTAATAGTAGCCATTGTTGATCAAGATGATTGAGCGTTGAGCTTGAAAAAAATGCAGTAGTGTAAGAGCAAACGGGCTCACTGCTTCTTTATGTCTTCGAGCCAGTAGGTAACCTGCGTTTTGGTCTTGTTTGTGTGGTAGATTCCACTTGTGTTTTGTGGGTGGAATATAAAGTTGCAAGCTGCTAACGGCGATATGTACAGGATACAGATAATAATATAGTAATGAAGAGAGTTGCGAGTGTGCTACTTAGGTATGCAAGTTGTGTAATGAATGAAGAGAGTTGCGAGTGTGCTATAGGTATGCGAGTTGTGTAATGAATAAGGATGAAGGGAAGAAACTCGAAAATGGGAGAAGATGCGGGTTTAAATAGTTGCAGATAGTCATATCAGTTGGAAGGAACGAATGGCTGAAGGACCATAACACCCTTCTTGAACTCGAGAAAGAAGATGCGGGTTTAAAGTTGCAGTTGGAAAGAACGAATGGCTGAAGGACCATAACACCCTCCTTGAACTCGAGAAAGGAGATGCGGGTTTAAAGTTGCAGTTGGAAAGAATGAATGGCTGAAGGACCATAACACCCTCCTTGAACTCGAGAAAGGAGATGCGGGTTTAAAGTTGCAGTTGGAAAGAATGAATGGCTGAAGGACCATAACACCCTCCTTGAATGCGGGTTTAAAGTTGCAGTTGGAAAGAATGAATGGCTGAAGGACCATAACACCTTCCTTGAACTCGAGGAGAAGATAACTAACCACGGTACACCGATGCACGGGCGAACTATCATTTCTTTCAAGTACCATCAAGCTCTGTTATCCCCCAACCTTGCAATAATTGCGAGGCCCGAAGCTGCAGAGCTACTTTCGCTCATGGCCATGTTTGACAGACAGGGGATTCCGGAGTCTATTCTGTACGATGACAGAGGTAAGCTGCAGTTTGAGGATGCGGTGGCGCCATTGACAAGTTTGTCTCTGATTAAGCTTCAGAGTACGAAGCAGCCAGAGCAGCAGGTCGGGGAGCATCTGTTTGAGATGCACGACTTGGTGCAGCTGGCGACGAGGAAGTGGCTGGAAGTACATATGCAGGTGGGCAGGTGGGAGAAGGCGTCGCTGCGGATTATGGCTGCTGCTTTCCCAAGCGGGAAGCACGAGACATGGGCGGCTTGTCAAGTGCTCCTTCCGCACGCACGAAAGGTGCTTGGCTACGTTTTAGAAGAGACGAACGCAACACTGGATCGATCGAGGATTGCAGATAACACAGTATGGTATCTTTTCCTTGTAGGGGAGTATGCAGCAGCGGAGAAGATTGGGCGGACTGCAGTAGTGGGGAGGGAGGAGGTGCTTGGAGTAGAGCACCCGCACAGGCTCACTAGCGTTAGCAAGCTTGGGTCCTGTTGGAGAGGCAGGGCAAGTACGAAGAGGCGGAAGCGATGCACCGGCGAGCTCTGGAAGGAAGGGAGAAGGTCCTTGGAGTAGAGCAGCCGCACACGCTTACCAGCATGGCCAACCTGGCCTTTGTGGAGTCAAAGATAGTGGAAGGAGGCTGAAGATATGGAAATGCGAATAATGGAGACGAGGCAAAGAGTGCTTGGGCATGGATACCAGACACGCTGATGGCCATGGGTAACCTTGCGTTCACGCTAAAATCCCAAACCTGCAATAAGGAGGCTTGTTATGTAACAAGTCATCGTGGTAAGTCTGGTATTGTGGTGAAGCTACAGAGTGAAGCTATGTTGGGAATAAATGCGGTCGCCTTGATTGACTACGGAGGTGTTGTTCATAAGTCTTGTGAGTGGGTCATGAGATGACCGGGGGTTGGGCATGGGTTGGAGCATGGGTACGCGTAGGCTTGTTTGTACCTTTTTAACGCGTCAAAATTCCTACTATTGTATTTTATATGTAGGAAATTCATACTCTTTCAATAACTACAATGCCTCATCTTACTCGCGATGAGCGGCTTCGTTGCGCACTACTACGCTCCCTAGATTGGGAGTTCCAAAAAATTGCAGCCTATATTGGCTGCACGGAACGGCAGGCTTGGTATGCTTGCCAGGGCCCTCCAACTCCGAAGAAGCGTTCGGGTAGGCCACTTATCCTATCCGATGAGCAAGTTCAAGAGGTTATTGAGTTTATAGCCTCATCTCGCACAAATAGGCGTATGCCATATACAAATATAATACGCATTCTTAATATTCCATGCTCACGGCTTGTCCTAACCCGCGCTCTGTCTGTGAGAGGCTATAATCGACGTAAGTATCCCTCTCTACTTTACTACTATATAGACTAATAATTATTAAGGGATTGCTATGCGGAAGCCTATTATCTCAGAGACAAATCGACAAAAGCGACTTTCATGGGCTATTGAACATAAGGATTGGGTACGGAATGATTGGAATAGGATACTTTGGACTGACGAGATGTGGGTAACGGGAGGCCGCCATACTCGTACATGGGTTACTCGAAAAGCAGGGGAAATGTGGGATGATACATGTGTTGTAGATAGAGTACAACGGAGAAGGTAAGAGACTCCTATTTACTATAGGATTTACTAACAATCCCTAGAGGTTGGATGTTCTGGGGCTGCTTCTCAGATGGTCTTGGAAAGGGTCCTATACTATTTTGGGAGAAGGAATATGGGAAAATAGGAGCTGAGTCCTATATGGCTCATACTGTCCCTCTAATCCACGGCTGGCTACGCCTATACCCAGGCCTTACATTGATGCAAGATGGAGCTCCAGGTCATAGAGCAGGTGCAACATATGAAGAGTTGAGATCCCGTGGTATTTGCCGTATTCACCAGATCTCAACCCAATTGAACGGGTGTGGCATATTATGAAGAATTATCTACAAGATAATCATCCAGAACATATGTCCTACGACCAGCTCTGTGTAGCTGTTAAGGAAGCATGGGAGCAAGTTGGAGAAGCTGAGCTTAATGCTCTCCTTAATAGTATGCCTACACGTATGGCAGCAGTAATTGCTGCAAATGGTATGCACACAGAGTACTAGGCTTATAGTATAGTTTTATATAGGGGTTTAGGTATCTACTCTACTCATTATTCTACAGAATTGATTGCTCTCACACTCAAGTGTTCGTGACGCGTGAGAATCGGTACTTTCGCCAGAATTGCCAAACCAGCCTACGCAGGGGGCCCTAGCCCGACCCACTCACAAAACTTATGAACAACACCTCCGTACGACTTGACTACCGATCTACAACCGATTTCCCGTCCCATTTATATAGGCAGCTTTCGGCCTAAGGCACCTAAGGCCTCATTCCCTCAACAAGCTATATATAGGTTGGTGCCCACGTGACTCTGTGGTGGGGCCTCAACAAGGCTATTTCGCTGATGGAGACATACTTTCAGCTGCAAGAACGGGTCCTTGGTCGTCATCATCCTGTCACGGAGTCTTTACTTGAAACTTTGGATGAGTGGCAGATGGAGAATATAGAGATAGGCGTTTAATGAATGCTGCTTTAATTGGAAATAGAGAGCCAGTGCAAATATGGAATGGACCGTGTAGTGTAAGCATGGGTACGAGAAATGGTACGGTAATGAAAGTGACTTAGCGCTATATATCGCCACCAGCTGCAGCGAGGACGACCGACCCGCCGATTCTGTACAGTGAGTTAGGTTGTTTTTTCTGGTATTGAAGCTGCCTTACTAGCGACTAAAATTAGGTGAAAAGCCTCAGGGTCCGATTTTGAGGTCGAGAACGTGCTAACTAGGTACCGCTTCTCAATAGCCTGTCGTCAAAAATCGGCCGGTTCGACGACATTATGATTACTACCGTCAGTGACGAGAATGGTGAGCTGCATAACGAACCCGGCAGGGTCTTGGAGTGTCGGATGCATCCTAGTGGCAAACAATATCTCCTAGTGGCATGGTAGTTTAATCGCAGCATGTTGGAAAAAGCTCGCCCTAGGTTTGAACGTTATTTGGACGGGAAGTGGCCTACAAAGCGAAGATCTTGCCAGGGGACATCATATTAATCACAACAGCTCGTAGCTGTAGTTAAGCAGATATACAAAAGTCTACTAGTAGACGAGAACAAGTGCATTGGAGAACATTTGAGGCATGCACAGCTAGCAAAGGATGCGCCACCTGAGACTCCACCTAAGTTAAATGATAGGGAGTATCAAAACTTAATTGACCAGTCCAGAGCCTTGATCAACAAGCATTGTGATTTTCTTATGGCCTGTTAGAGAGTGTTTTTGCCACTCCTAAGGTGCGTAGCCTATCACCAGAGAATAAGATGCCAGAGCAACTCTAGCATCACGCTATTCACAGCCTCGTTGTCATACTGACATTCGTTGCACTCAGTTTGCTATCAAACTAAAGAGCAAACTTAGAAATCTTCTCCTCAAACCTACAAGTCACTATACATATTTTGGCTTGTCACACCAACAACAAGAGCAATACTACTCAACGATTGCTACAACTGTTACGACGGAACAAGAAGGCTGGCCAACTACAGGATAGGAAGGAGGGAGGTCGCATGAGACCGGCCCTGGTACCTGGAGGGGCAGCGGGGAATAGTAGTTCCGAAAGTATCACGTGACGGACTCGCAGGATGATGAGAAGAGCCCTAAGAGTCCAGGACTCCGAGGACTCGAGTGAGTTCCCAGGAGTCCACTAGGCACGTGACGGACTCGCAGGATGATGAGAAGAATCCTAAGAGTCCAGGACTCCGAGGACTCAAGTGAGTTCCCAGGAGTCCACTAGGCACGACGCCACTATATAAGTAGATAGTATTTCCTTAGATAGGAGCTTCGTGCTCAACTCATTACAGTATTTGTTATATACTAGTAACGTGTTACTTGAAGCCTTTGTGTCTGATCCCCTGCCTCCTCTGATAAGTAAACCTTTACGCAAGAGAACCTCTGTGTCTTCTATCATTTAGAAGTCAGCGTTACACTTACTCATATTTTACAGCCACTAAATGTGGGGATCTTCCAGCCATATAAGCACTGGCATAGAGAGGCTGTGCTTGCTGCCATACGTGATATGGATGTTAGATATGACCTATGGTCCTTTATGAGGGATCTTACCAAAATGCGGCTATAGACTTTTAAGGAGTCTACAATTATATCAGCTTTCTAGAAAGCAGGAATTTGGCTAGTAAGCCACATTATAGCCCTCACAAAGCTATGTACGTACTCACAGCCTGCTCCTATGCATACACCTATGCCTCTACCTATACAGGTTTCTACACCAAAACCCTCGACTTTTAGGGGGGTTGAAGAGGGGCTATAGTACTAGAAACAACAGGTTCTAGAGGGTTTTAGTAGCCCCTTGAGGGAGAGCTATAGGAATTGGCTCATAGGAATGGAAGAGGTTGTAGTAGGAGGCTAGCTTCAAGAGCTTGACCTACTGGCTTTTCAACGCTAGGTTGAGGAGTTGAAGAAGTGGTCGAGCTGAAGCTAGGGGGTATCAGCTCTTTGGAAAGCTGGCCTCCTAATTCCTCTAGAGTTTGAGGACCTAATTCCTAACCTAGAAGCCCTCTAAACTGAGGGCAAGAGTGAGGGCAAGGGCAAGGGCGAGGGTGAGAGTGGGAGAGAGGGTAGGAGTAGGAGCGAAGAAGTGATAATTTCATAGAATGGCTTAATTATGTACCTTTACATACAAATTACTATGGAGAGGTACTTACAGTCGCAATTGTGATGAGCTACGTATTGCTTTCTCCCGAGTTGGGCAGCTACGTATTGCTTACTCCAACCTTAAGGAAAGCAAAAAGTTTGGTTACAACGATTACTTACAGTTGCAAATTTTTGAGTTGCTGCAACTCGCTTCCTCTTACATGAAGTGTTGCAACTCGCTTACTCCAACCTTAAGCGAAGCTTAAGGTTAGTCATGACGATTAACATATTTTATAACGTAGTTCACAAGCGACCCGTCATCCCAAGCGACCAGTTATATTTTTCTTAGCATCGTACATTTGACTTTATAACTAAATAACTTTTTTTTTAAACATGACACATTCGTATGAAGAAAGAAATATGATTCTTGCACTTCAAGTGCTTCAAACGAATCCACAATTACAACTTAGTCACATTGCTCGAATCTACAGAGTTCCTCGTACGGCATTGAACGATCAAAGAGCCAGAATTGTCACAAAGTATAATACCTTACCAAAGTCTCAAAAATTGACAATATTAGAAGAAGAAGTTGTCGTACGACATATTCTTGAGTTAGATTCGCGAGAATTTCCTCCTCGACGCAGTGCTGTTGAAGATATGGCAAATCGATTGCTTGCTGAACGTAACTGCGGACACGTCGGAAAGAAATGGACATAGAACTTCGTACGACGACAATCACAACTCTGTACGCATTTCAATCGAAACATCAACTATGAGCGAGTTCAATGCGAAGATCCTAATCAAAACATCAACTATCAGCGAGTTCAATGCAAAGATCCTAATGCATATAACGCGTGGTTTTGACTCGTACGAAACATGATTGACAAATATGGGATTCATGAGGAGGACATATACAACTTTGACGAGACAGGATTTTTGATGGGCCAAATATCATCTGAGATGGTT